GGGGGAGGGGTAATTTTTTTTTGAAAAACAGATTTTTTTAAATGGGTTAGAACCATTTTACCCAAATCATATTTGACCAAATCCATATTTACCCATATTCTATTTGGGTGGATTGTAATTCAAACCATTTTTGCTCAATCCATATTCAGTCCATCCAAATCCGATCCAATCCAATCATTTGCCACCCCTAAGTACAACTCCGCCAGAAAAATCTAGCTCTCTGGGTTGCCATTGCCACTGAATCTAGGTAGAAACATTGTGCTGTTGGAATACGGTCAATGAAAGCACCAACGTAACAAACCCAAATTCCTTACTTTATTAATAAGAGAATTGGAATGCGATTACAACTTTAGAATCGTAATTGCAATACTCAAACAAATGAATTACAATGAAAATATTGAAATAACAAGTAACTAAGATAGAGATAAGAATTGGGATGAGAAGCTAACTTACATTTTTCTTCAATGTGTAAACCCTTATTTCCAACTCATTTGCCCTTTTAACCAAATGCTAATTGAATTGGGATTCCAAATAAAACACTCCAATATTTTACTCACCCCAATAATACCAACTAAACTAGTCTCCACCAATTCTAATCCATAGACCCTTACATATCCAACTCGGTTCACAACAAACAACATATCGACACCACTTTTTTAGCGTTTAGGAGTCATGAACACATGAATTTAAAATTTTCTCAATTTTTCATGGTTATGAATTTCTGGAAACATCACTTGGCAGATTTTTCGGGATCATCCATAATGATCTAGTGAACGATACCCATAGCCTCTAAACGATCTACATCACTTTTTTTGCTTATGGGTCACGTAACAGGAATTCAAAATTTTCTCTGTTTTTCATGTGTATTAGTTCATGAATTTTTTGAAATATCACTGAGTGGATTATTTTGACCCCAATTTTTTGGGACTATTCGTAATGACCTAGTGAACACATTACCCCTACCTAGGGAAGAATTGGTTTTCTACATCACTTGAACACAATTTTAAAAATTTTAAATCCTTTTAACGATAGATCTTCATTTTTACATAGAAGAAATATAAAAAAAATGATTTATTCTATTAATTTTCTTAATGATCAAGAAATCTTAATCCCCCACACATAACGGTGCAGTTATGGGCTAATCAGACTTATATATAGGGCACTAGGCCTAAAATTGCGAAATCAGTTTTAATTTCTATTTGAGAAAAAAAAAATTGTCTCTGTTTCCCGCCAAAAATTCTCTCCGAAATTTCGAATTCTTGATCGTGAAATGGCTAATCAACAACGGCAGCGATTGATTCCTTTGAAGAAGAAGAAGACATTCTTTTTCAATTTCATTTCATCAAAAGCTGAAGAAGAAGCTAACAACACACCACGGAAAAGGACTCGAGAGGTATTAGAGACAGGCAATGTCACCACAATGTTCGATTTCATGCCATCAAAAGCTGAAGAAGAAGCTAACAACACACCACGAATTATTACTCGAGAGCTAATAGAGACAGGCTCTGCCAGGATATTCGATCCGAATAACATATACTACATTAGGAGTACCATTAGCCATTGTGAACTCTCTAATGGAGAGCTGTTGATTCCATTTTCTGTAATGCTTCTGAACATTTTTCCATACATGGATTTGGAGATAGCAAGAAGTTTTGTGAACGAGAACGAGGTGCATGTTAAGTTGTGGGATGACACGGAGAACAATGTCCCTAAGAAGTATGGATGTGGAAGATTTACTGTTAGGAAGCTGCCTGAGGATGACTATCATCTATCGATTGTGACATTGATCAAAGATCGCGTATTGGTTATAGGTGATAAAATTGGGCTGTGTTGGCATCCTTGGAATTCAACGTTTGTTTTCTAAGGCTGGTGATTCAAGAAATTGATTGATTAGGGGCTTTGTAGAAATTGAGATATCTTCAAGTTTTATGTTCAAATTCTGTAAATGATTCAAGAATTTGTTTCGTATTGATTGTAATAGCTGAAGATTTGATTCTGAAATTGGGATCTTTTCAGTATGAAGTACGATGATTCTTGAAGTTCCCAATTGGAATAAATGATGATTCTTGAAGTTCGTAATTGAAAGGTTTTACAGCAAGCACATTTCTTTCTCAGTTTGTATGTTTCTTCTGCTATTTTTACTTATATCATCGATAGTCTTCACATCTCGATTTTGCTGATCTAAATTTGTTTTGTACTTGAATTTTAGTAACCAAACAGAAAATCCTGTTGAGTGTCAATTCATCCTATATTTTTTCTACTAAGCAAGTTACTGCTTATACCTAAGATTGTGTGTACAATAGTATAGAAGAACCAAGTTATGATATATATTTGTACTTTTCTCCATTTGCGTCTTTTTTCATTCACATTGTGAGATATTTCATTGACACCGGGGGAACAAAGTACAATGAAGTATATGTTGCAGATTAAAGGTTCAACAGATCGACACAAAATTGCTATTAAAACGTGCAAAATATGTCTATAAATTTGAATATGTCAAGTTAAAAGACACATTTATGTATTATGTCTATAATAAATACTGATTCAACTAATTATATACACATTTCTAGTTCATATTATCTCACGCACGGGTTGAGCAAAAGGTAAACATGATTTTGGGGATCTTCGTAACTCGGTTGGCTAGCTATCACAATATGGCAGTTAATTTGATTCCTCCATATTTCTCATTCTCCTATCCACAACAACAAAAACAAAAGAAAAAGTAAACACGATTTTGTTTTTGTTACATCTAAAACTGTTAAATACTTTTAACATAAGAAAAATTATTAGTTTTGCGATAAAGGGGTTACAAAAAATGCCGTAGATAACGCGTCCGTTAATTTCTATTTTTGCTTAAATAATATTTTTTTTTTTAAAACAAATGTTTTTTAGACCAAATTTCTCATCAAATTGAAGAACGCGTCTGTTTTGAGTAGTTCAGCCTATAAAATAGAAACCACGTAAATTAATTTGTTCAAATAATAATAATAATTTTCTCTCTCCTACTCATAGTTGGAAAAGAAATTAAATCCTAATTTGTTTAGGACTAGGAAATAGGTTTCCAATTTCTATTCAAAGTAGGTCTTGCACCCTTATAAATAGAGATGTTACTATCTATTTTCAATATATTAAATTTTTGGGGGAATTGTATTCTTCAGATAGTTTCTTCAATGGTTGATCATAAGTTTTTAACTAGCATTAAGAAGACATTCTTTCATGAATTCATCTCATCGAAAGCTGAAGAAGAAGCATGTCAAGTTAACAACACATCATGGGTAGTGACTCGAGAACTAGTGGAGATAAGAGACGTATACTCTGCCCCAATAATCGATTTGGAAGATCCGTGGCAAATTAAGAAAAAGATTACCCATAATGAGGTCATTTTAGAAAAGTTGGTGATTCCATTTCTCGAAATGTTTGAGTACATTCTTAGATACTGGAAGTTAGACATGGCCAAAAGTTTGACGAACGGGTACGAGGTGTGTGTTAATATGTGGGATATAACTGAGGAGAATGACCCTAAAAAGTATGAAGGTGGAAGTATTTGCTTTAGGAAGTTGTACAATGGTTATTCTCTATCGTGCATGAGATTGTTTAATGATCGCGGATTGAATGTTGGTGATGAAGTTGGGTTATATTGGGATCCTAGATCTTCAAGTATAATGTTTAAATTACTTTCTCAGAATTCGCACTCAAAAATTTAGGACCAAAAATAATAGTCTTTTTTTATTAGTATTACTCTTTCATATAATTGTAATAGCTCAATGTTGAATAATATTTTATTAGAATTACTCTTCATTTAATTGTCATTGAGTACTGTTGGAGTTGTGCATGATCATTTGGGGCAAATTAAGAAGTGAGTATATTTAACAAAGTTTAGCATCAGAACATTTATTTTCTGCCAAGCAAATTTAAATTCAAGAACTCTTCTATTGCTTATATATATCTAAAGTTATGTGTGCAATAGTTATAGTATGTAAAGTTTAATCTTTATAATTATCGTTAAAAATGGATAAAGTTTAGCTATTTTAATACGTCAAACAATAGTTTTGTTACTCTAGAGTTATCAAAGTGCATGTTTGTACTCACTGTTGTTAGTATTTAAAAAAATACAAGCATACGCTAATAGATGATCACTTACTAATTTCATGATTTACTAGAACTGAAGATTATAGTTGCAACACAACAAGTCTCAAGTTTTAGAAGAATGCATGTGGCTTAACTAGCATTTGGATATAAATTTTGACGATAGCTTTTGAAAATTTATCTTTAGATATATGTTTGGTCATATGATTAGATCTCGAAAATTTATGATCAAACAAGAGTTAATTGATTTGGATCGTTTTTTTACCCAAATCGTGAATAGCGGATATTAATTTTCATGTAGCTATTGTTGGTGGAAGGTGATACGAACATTCGGTGAAATTTAATTCACTGTGGTTATTTTAAAAAAAATAAAAAAATCCCTGAGATTTAAACGATGCCGTTTCAATACACACTGTATATATTGCTCTTACCTTTAGGGCTTATGATCTTTTCCCCCAAATTCTCAACTGAAACATCTTCTTTTTCATCATCTTCTCTAGGGTTTAACATCTTCTCAATTCTCCACAGAACCAGCCATGGCGCGTAACGAGGAGAAAGCTCAATCAATGTTAAACAGGTTCATCACAATGAAAGAGGAAGAAAAGAAGAAACCCAAAGAACGCCGACCTTATTTAGCCTCTGAGTGCCGTGATTTAGCTGAAGCGGATAAATGGAGGCAGCAAATCATGAGAGAAATCGGTCGAAAAGTAACTGAGATTCAAAATGAAGGACTTGGGGAACACCGATTGAGAGACCTGAATGATGAGATTAATAAGTTAATTAGAGAGAAAGTTCATTGGGAGAGGAGAATTATTGAACTTGGCGGACCGAATTATACCAAGTATTCAGCGAAGATGACGGATTTGGATGGAAATATTGTTGATGTACCGAATCCGGGTGGACGTGGTCCTGGGTACAGGTATTTTGGTGCTGCTAAAAAGTTGCCTGGTGTTAGGGAGCTGTTTGAGAAACCTCCTGAATTGCGAAAAAGAAGAACTAGGTATGTTTTAGTTACTTATATACATTGCTGATTGACTGATTTTAACCTCATTCATGCTTGAGTATGTTGTCTGGTTTATATATATATCATTATTTATGCTTGTTAAGTATGATGTTATGTTATATATCACTAGTAGCTTTTCCAGAATTAGTAGAAAAACTTGATAGGAATGTATTAAAAATTATTAATTTGTGTTTGTGATACAAACGAACCTAAAAGAGTAATCACTAGAGAGCTGGGTTTTGAATTCTGTCTCTACTAATATTTAGGGATTACATCGATAGAAGAAGAAGAAGCAGATACATACCTGTATTTTTATGTGATGAAATACAAGCTCGCTGAAAAGCTTACATTTTTTTTTGATAAAGTAATAAATTTTATTAATCTAAAAAGCATGCTCATATTCAAGAAGTATACAAAAAAAAAGCAAAAAACCTACGAAAAAAGAGATTTTGTAACACCCAACCTTCTATGCATAAAGGAATCTTGCACCATAAAGAAATAAGGGATAAAATACTATTCAACTGAAGAAAGTTCATAACTAACGGAAATGCTTACATATAGTGCTGGATTTTGAGTATCGACTTAGCTATCAAGGAAATCCACCTAGACCTTCTAACAGTTAAGGGAGATTGGAAGGCAGTGAAAAGGATACATGATCCTAAATTAAAGAGACATTGTTATTCCTTCTCAAAAAAAAAAAGAGACATTGTTATTCTTCATTGGTTGCAATAGGGTGCAATGTTGTTGTTTGTCTTCGTCAGTGACTGGAGCACACACATGAAATCAGATAAATGAATAGGATAGTCTGGAGATGGTTCTTTGGTTCATACAAATAGATTAGTGAAAGACTAAGCACTACCAATGATTGGTTTACAATGGTTTTTGGTTTCCCATCACAAACATGTATTTGCTCAACAGATTTAAATAAGAGATGGTGCTTAGCCTAAAATTGCTTATTTATTTACTTTGGTTGATAAGTTTATTAATGTCATTGATATGTTTGACAACAGTGTTTTGACAGATGTCTAATAAATTCCTTTTTTCCCAATTGTAACTAAGCAATAACATTAAAGCTAGCGTTCAGTTTCAAAAAAAAAAACATTAAAGCTAGCGTTCAGTTCCAAAAAAAAAAAACATTAAAGCTAGCGTCCACTACTACAAAAAACTAAACCTAGATTGCTTCAATTGCATTCTCTATTCCTTAAATTTTCCCAGTTACTTCAAGTATGGTCTTTGTTTGGGAGGAAACAGAGAAAATGAGAGAAAGGGGAAGCAATGATAAACTGATGTTCTATGGGTTTTTTTTATGAGAGAAAAAACTGATGTTCTATGGTTTTCAATAGGTTCTCTTTAGAATACAAAATAATATAGTAAGGATAAAACTATTGAACATGTCTTGGATAAGGATATGTTGCTCAGAGAACTTGGAAAGTCATTCATGATCCTTCGGGTATAGTGTATTATAGAATATCATTAGAAATGATCATGTTCAACTGGTGGGCTGTATCCTAAAAAACAAAAATCAAGAATTGATTTTTCAAGCTACTACAATTTCTACCTTCTGGAAACAGATGTCTATAAGTATGGGAAAGGCAATATTTCCTTGGTTCGAAATTACTTGTTGAAGACATGATCGGAGCTTCATTGGATCTGGGAGGTACTTCTGAAGGGAAAGAGAGTGGGGAGTGGGGGGGGGGGGAGATGACAAGAAAGGATTGGTTGTCTTTTAACTTTTTGGGGGTAAAATACAGAAAAATCCCCATCACAAATAAGATTAGTAAGGATATTTAAGAGAAATAAAAAATGGGTACATTGTTAACCTACTTCAGCAATGTTATAGGTCAGCAAAACCCAACATGTATAGTATGTATATACATGTGTGTGTATATATGTACCTATAGGTGTATAATATGCATGTATAATATATATGATTATACATGTTATATGCACGCATGTTTGTTGATCTAGTAAAAGATTTCATTGATAATGACAAGGCCATAATGGCCGTAGACAAGAGGTATACCAAAAAAGAGAAACCTGAAAAATGTGGTTCTCTCCGAAAGACGCTCAATCCTCTATAAAAATTAGAACTACATGGGTGCACTAAAAGAAAATAAGGGATAGGACCTCCCCTTCAAAAACTCATATTTCTCTCTTTCTAAATGATCCACAAAAAAAGTTTTGCGCCTTCTTCCCCTAGCTAGCTTCACTCTTCCCGTTGAACATCAACTCCTTCATGAACTTTAGCATTGCCGAAGAAACACCAAACCATTTAAAGATCCACAATATCCTCATGACTAGTTTGCAATGTATCAAAATATGATCTACGTCCTCACCTGCCTCCTTACACAGGAAACGCCAACTAATGCAAACAACCTTCTTTTTTCTAAGATTTTACACCGACAGCAACACCTCTCTAGTTGCCAATCAGGTGAAGAAACACCCCTTCCTTGGCACCTTAAGGTGCCAGACCGAATCATATGGAAAACTGTCCTCTGCCCTACCCAAAAGCTTCTCGTAGAAGGACTTAACAGAGAAACCTTTGTTATTTTCCAAATCCCAACTCAAAGCATTGGGTTTGTCAACTGGCTCGCAATGCTTGTGAAGTAAAGTTAGCAGTCTCTGAAGCTCGGTCACCTCCCAATCTTATCTTGGAAATTCCCCTCCTGAACCTCAAATCCCAAAAAGTCCCATCCCTTTGCGTACCTCTAGCTCGCTGTATAGACAATTCCTCTTGTCAAGGTCCTATACAAAACTGGGAAATCATCTGTTAGCGCCAAACTCCTCACCTTTTTTGCCCACAAAAACTAACTCTATTCCCAATCCCAACTTTAAAAGCAATGTTTTCATTAAAGGCTTACCACCCCTTCATTGTGTTTCTCCACACACCACACCCAAAAGACAGTGGTCGCATTAGTTTCCCACCCCCTTTCATTACTCCATATTATCTGTTATCACTCTTCTCCATAAAACTTTTCCGTTTGTCTCGAATCTCCACAACCTTCAAGTTTTTAACCCCAAGCCCTCCCCACCATTTAGGAGTTGTCATGGTCTCCTATTGAACTAAGTGGAACTTCTTTGCCTCATCCGCCGCATCCCAAATAAAGTTTCTTTGTAATCTTTTCAACTTTCCTATAACAAGAGTAGGTGCATTGTATAGGGACATGCAATATGTAGGAATACTTGATAAAGTGCTCTTAATAAACACTTCCTTCCCTCCTTTTGACAAATACCTCTTCTTCCACCTTGCCAGCCTCTTCTCTACCCTCTGAATGGTTGGATTCCAAATGCCTTGATCTTTGATCGAGACCCCTAGAGGTAAACCCACGTAGGCAGTAGAGAGGGCCCCTACCCTGCAATGCAAAACTCGGGCAACCTGTATATACATTATCTATGTATATATGAAATCACCTGATTCAAAAAATGTATATATGAAATCACTTTTCATACCGACATAATTATGCTTTGTGATTTATTGCAACCACACCAAAATGGCTTGAATGGGGGTATTATGGACATTTCTTACGTGTAAAAAATATCTAATATACCTTTTGTGAAAAAGGTACTGTCGCAGTTTCAAATTTGAATTTTGTTCTCTCATCAAAATTAATTTTATCCTATTTTCCAATTGCATTGATAACATAATCTGATGGAGAAAAAAAGTTACTTTTTGTAGCACTCCGTACATGAAAAACTAAGCAACTATGACCCCCTCTATTTTTTTTTCATTTAGTTGTATGCTATACAACATCCATTAATTTAGTTGGGAAAAGACACAAGTAACACCCTGTAGTTGTCCAAAAAATTCATTTACACACTAATACTTGATACTTTACGGGTGACCTACTACCTACCTCCCTATTCTTTTTCAAGATGAATTACTTACCCCCAAAAATGGCACAACCAGATTCAAGTCAAGCACTGTTTTACATGCGCAGCCACATGGTTTTTCTACATTATCTTTTCTTCTTTTCCTACCTTTTAATTCTACTCTATTCCTCTCCATCATTGCCTCGCTGGAAAAGTCACTGCCGGCAAATCTCCATCTCCGATTTCAATAAACAAATTGAAACCCCAAGAACTCTGCCAGACAAAGTCTTATATTCATATATGAATTGGCATTCTCTGTGAAGAAGAGATTATAACCAAGTTCTAATGGGTGTCTCACAGAGAGTATTTTGATTTGTAAATATTATTTTTTCTAGTTGTACTTTTAGGCCTAATGATGCTTTGTTTTTAGAATACCAGTTCTCAATGTTATTTTCTCGAATTTTAAAGAAACATTTACCATCTTGCATCAAATATAATAGTCAACTATGTCTCATTTTGCTTAACATCTACAGAAATTTCAATTCTATCATCAGAAGGCTTTATTAGTTATTCATACTTGATTCTAAGAAAAGGGTTATTAGTGAAATTAATTTGATAGTTGTGGTGGTCTGTTACTGAAATGGTGGGTGGCAATGGTTCCAGCATTTCACATTAGTGTTAGAGAAAAGTGTGATTATGGTGTAGAAGAAAGATATAAATTTACCTTGAAGTTTCTAATTAAATATGACTTTTGTATTTAAGGGAAAAGAAAAAATAAGGCAATCAGTTGTTGACATGCGGCAAAACAATTCTTTTAACATGGTCCAGATGCCATTCACACACCTTACTGAAGGTAAACCCACTGCCTTTGCCATGTGGCAATTAGGGTGGTGTTGGTACCACATAAAATAAGAACATGGAGGTAATAGGTCACCCATAAAGTATCAGTGTATAAATGACTTTTTTTGACAACTACGGGGTGTAACTTATGTCTTTTTCCATTTTAGTTTATCTTAATACTTGCGGATAAAAGTGAAAGATTCAAATTTATTATGTTATGCATGAACATAAATAAAAAAGAGAAGCTACTATCAATGGATGTATAGCATGCACCTTGATGAAATGGATAAAGAGGAGCTGTTATTACTTAAGTTTTTTCCAATGTATGTGGCATGCCAGGAAAGATGAAAGAATTTCCCTCCATCAAAATATTATATTTCTTGGAGAAAAAAAAATCCTTAATGCATTGGGAACATATGACATAATTAATTCGATGAGAGAGAACCAAATTAAAATTTGGAATAGTGAAATCCTATTTTTTACGAAGGGCGTGATAGACATCTACACATAGAAAATGTCCATAATACCCCCATTTAGAATAGAGGACAGAATTCTTACGCTTTTCTGCACTTTCTCTTTTGACTACCCTGCTGATCCTTATGAATTAGATTCAATTGAACTTAATCAAACCATGCTCTCCTTTGTTAAGGTGGAGAATTCACCAAGAAGTCTACTACTTCATCATTAATGAAATCACATTCCATGAGCTAGGACTTTATTTCATTGTCAAAGCAATTTCAGTCAAGTTTTTTCTTTTCCCATCAAGTATGAGTTAAAATGTCTCAATTTCTAAAAATTCTGATTAATGGGGATTTTCATGTTAAAACCTGCTTTAGTGAGTGATTAACAATGTGGAATCTCCAGACTCCAATTTCAACATGAGATTGGATATGGCCTCATAAGGAAGTGAGAGGACAAGTATGTCCTCCTTTTGGAATCTAGTATTGGTCAATCTGAAGTTATCTGATGAGTTACCTTACCTACTGCTGAAAATGTGATGGTTGTCAAAGTTCAGCCACCTTGGAAGGTGTATCTGGATGGTACTCTGCTACTTGTAGGTTTTGGTGTGGGTGTGGTTTCACTACTTTTCAAGGAGGGGGGTTTGCCATATTATACTTTAAATGCAACATTGCTTGAAAAATAATGCCAAATATCAAGCACTTCTTGTCTTTCCCAAACACCTCCAAAAATAAAAAAGAGCTTAAAAGCCAAAAACTACTTGAAATAAACCAATCTAAACACCCTCTAAGTCTTCAGAAACTCAAAGTTTGTTGTCAGCTAGCTTCTTAGTAGCTTCAAAGTGAGAAAACTAATGTTGTTTCCATGTTACAATTAGCTCAAAATTTATGGGCTTATGGCTTGATATGACATAACATAAGCATAAAATCAGTGTGATTAAAGGCAAAGGTTCGCTTAAGCCTTGAAGCTCAGTGAAGATGCATATTTAGTACACCAAGAAGCACATTTTGTCAATGTCTGAAGTAGAGAACAAGAAAGTTGACAGCAACCCCATCTGATGGTATTTCTTCCAGCCTGCTTACCGTTATCAAATAAGCAGGTCAGGAAGGGGAACCTTGGTGTAACTGGTAAAGTTGTTGCCATGTGACCAAGATCATGGGTTCAAGCCGCGGAAACAACCTCTTGCAAAAATGCAGGGTAAGCATGTGTACAATAAACCTTTATGGTTCGGTCCTTCCCCGAGCTTTAGTGCATCGGGCCGCCCTTTATAAAACTTCAGTTCAAGTTCATAAGCAGTGGTATTTGTTGCACTGAATATCATTTCCACTTAAAGATTGAATCCAATAGTAGTCCTGCTATACCACTTACTTATCAAGTAGCACTTCTTCCTGCCCACTAGCCTTGTCACCAACTTTATGACTTGCTTCTTGCACTTACACTCTTATAGTCATTACAAACGTAATTCAAGTAAAAGAAAGTTCAGATTTTTTCTTAAGATATAATGTGTGTACAGATTGCAGTTAGTAGGTTGCAAGTGGTCTTATGACTTGAACTTTTTAAATATATGCGGAATGTGGATAGATTGTGAATTAACAGGTTGGAAGTTCTACGTATGAATGAAAATTTAGTTTATCAGAAATTTTGTAGCTTTATGCTGTTTATGCATGTATGATGTCATCTCAGAAATGGCAACTCAGTATATTTTCTTCATGCTTGGGAAAACCAGATGTGTTTTCTTGTAACTGCAATGTAGCTAAAAGAAGATTTGTTGGACTCTTGTCTGAAATGCTGTAAATATTACTTTGTCAATTTAATGTTTTTTGTGTGGATACGTTTTAGATTTCTTCTGCCTGGTATTTATTTCGGCAATTCTTATATTGATTTGTTTGTTGAAAATCTGTAGGTATGATATATACAAGAGGATTGATGCCAGCTACTATGGGTACAGAGATGAAGAGGACGGAATATTGGTAAAGTTGGAGGGTCCAGCAGAGAAAAAGATGCGAGCTGCAGCTGTGAAAGAATGGATGGAGATGGAAGAGATAAAGAGAGAAGCCAAGAAGGCGGTAAAAAGTGGGGAGGTAGTAGAGGTGGGTTTGGGATCAAAGATATTGTTCGAGGAGGAAGAGGATGTGATAGAGGAGGAGAGGATGGAAAGGGAGAGGGAGGAGAAGGATAGAGAAAAAGAATACGTGGTACATGTACCATTGCCAGACGAGAAAGAGATCGAGAGGATGGTGGTGGAACATAAGAAGATGGAGCTTCTGAGCAAATATGCTAGTGAGGATTTAATGGAAGAGCAAATGGAAGCTAAAGCCATGCTTAACATTCAAAGGTAGGTAACGAAGCTATTACATAGAGCATATGTTTCTACTCGATGTAAAGAGGAGTTGTTGGCTTTTCTTCGAAAATGTTGCATTAATCCGACTGTGTTTAGCGTCGTTGGTACTTCTTTTCGAGTGTAGCAACGAATAGAACGACTATCTTTCAGGCTCCGGTTCGTGCTATAGTTCTTTGCTTTCTACAGAAAGCATTCACTCCTCTCACATTCTGCTATAACATTGATTTTCCAACAATGTGATGAAGTGCATAGAATGTAGTTTAAGCATTTCACAATTCTGCGTCGTGAATCCTCGGTAAATTTAATTCGATTTTCAAGTGATTATTGAATTCTTGTTATGTTATTTACATTTTTTTTCCCAGTCATTATATGTGTTTTGTGCTTCCTACCCACTAATTCATAGTATTTTTTTAGTTCATTTAAAATTTGAATAAAAAGTAATACTCCAAAGCAACGACTTTATATTATTATTGTTAGGTCGCATGTCCGCTGGCATCTGCCTACGTCTGTCTGCTTCCTTCTACGCCTCCCGACATGTTACTAAGCATTAGAATTGCATTCTATATTCAAAAAACCTCTAATCATGGCATTGTTATTGCGCAAGGACGTTACCAAACCCTCAAATTGCGACACCGTTATTGGGTGTGGGTCTTGCATTCGACAAGTTATTGATCGACTTAGTTTGTACTTCTTTTCGAGTGTAGCTAACTAACTAGCAACGAATAGAATGACCATCTTTCTGGCTTCGGTTCGTGCTATAGTTCTCTCACATTCTGCTATAACATTGATTTTCCAACAATGTGATGAAGTGCATAGAATGTAGTTTAAGCATTTCACAATTCTGCGTCGTGAATCCTCGGTAAATTTAATTCGATTTTCAAGTGATTATTGAATTCTTGTTATGTTATTTACATTTTTTTTCCCAGTCATTATATGTGTTTTGTGCTAACCTACCCTTTAATTCATAGTAATTTTTTAGTTCATTTAAAATTTGAATAAAAAGTAATCCTCTAAAGCAACGATTTTATAATATTAGGAAAAATTACTTAAATACACAACACTTCTTTACCTATTCTCAATATTTCCCTACTCTTTTACTAAAATACAAAAATCCCTTATTTCCCCCCAATTCAACTTAACCGGATACTTTATTAGATTAAGTATCCGCCCGTTATTAATTAAAGTATCCGTGCTGCTATATTATGCATCCGCCCATTAATTTAAGTATCCGCCCATTATAAATTAAAGTATCCCGTTATTAATTAAAGTATCTGCGCTGCTATATTATGTATCCGAAAAACACTAAAAAAGGATTTTGGTAATTAATGAAAGAGTAGGGAAAGGAAGTAATTTCTTTCTTATACTATGTCATTTGCCTAATTTTTACTTTATATTATTGTTAGGTCGCATGTCCGCTGGCATCTGCCTACCTGCTTCCGTCTACGCCTTCCGATATGTCACTTAGCATTAGAATCGCATTCGATATTCAAAAAACCTCTAATCGTGGCATCGTTATTGGGCAGGACGTTGCCAAACCTCAAATTGCGACACCGTTATTGGGTGTGGGTCTTGCATTCGACAAGTTATTGATCAACCTAGTTCAACACTTGGTGGCGTTTCTCCAAGTCTATATCATCAGATATTGAATGCATGCAAAGGATCGAAAACAAACCATAGGATAGGATTGACACCTATGATGGTGGAAGATAATACATGTATCCGATAAAATAATTGAGATGTATTTAAGTTGGATTAAAAAAAAAGTTTCTAACCACAATTTTGAATTCACTAGATCATGTCTTCATATCCAAAGTTAACTTCACTTGGATCAAGATCAGTCAGTAACTCTTCCAAATGAACAGAAGGGACATATATTTCCCATCAGCCATCAGTAACATAATGTGATTTCCAATGGTTGCTTTTATAAAAATGTCAACTTTTTTTTTCATTTTCAAAGCTCCAGAGTAATTAAATATCAATAAATATATCTACTGTGCACAATAATTACCAAAAAAGGATTTTTTTTTTTATAGCTAGAGTAGTATAGTGGCCATCATATATTGCATTGATACATGCTTTATACAAATCAATTGAAAGGAAATTTTTCCCAAAAAAGACTTGACACAAGAAATTTAGCTTATGTGTATAGTTTTTTATAGGAAATATTAATCAATTTCATCTCACTGAAAATCTTGAATCCCAAAATTCAACTACTATTACAAGGGTCAAAGCCAAACAGGTTTGTCCCAAGAAACAAAGCCCAATTTGTCTATGTCATTGTATTGTCAAATCCCTTATTACCTGCTTCTTGGAATATAACACAAGTAAAGGTCACACAATTAATTAATAATGATGTGACTATCTCAAAAAAATAATTACTCCCTCTGTCCCAATTTATATGACTTACTTTCCTTTTTAGTCAGTCCCAAAAAGAATGACACATTTCTATTTTAAGTAACAATTTGCCTATAAAATGTCTTTTTTACCCTTAATGAAATGATTTACAACCACACAAATTTCTATCATTCATTTTGGACCACAAGTTTTAAAAGTCTTTCCATTTTTCTTAAAGTTTGTGCCAAATCAAAGTACATCATATAAAATGGGACGGAGGGAGTACTTATTTTAGTGATCTTCAATCCATTGACTGAACTATTCTATAAATGTTATGGCTTGACTAATTTGGATTTGCATCTGATAGGCTCGCGAAAGGGGAGTAAAGCGCACTAAACCAAGAGGGTTTTCATTCCTAGGCTTTGAATGTGTGATATCTTTGATCAGGAAGAATGATCTCAACCATTCTACCATTCGACTACAGCTCTAGGTGGTATGTGACCGCTTCAATAGTCAATAGTGCATGTTGAAAAGGTAGGATGGAGCTACGTACATCAAAAGATGTATATATTAAAATCTTGTACATATTTTAAGTGAAATTTCTAATTTCGCTACGATGAGAGGTGACTAGAGTAGATGTTCAATTTGTTAGAGCCAATGGCTTTATGACAGTCCCATAATACTAAATTTGGGGTCTGAAAATGATCAAACAAAATCATAGAAGATGGACAAACTATTTTTGAACCCAGAAAAAGGATGTTGGAAACAATCCTAACTTAGCAACTTACTCCTATGCTCTTTGTAAAAAAAAAAAAACAATAACATATCAGTATAATTTCATAAGTGAAGTCTGAAAAAAATAGAATGTACACAGATCTTACATATTACGTGATCTTTGTATAATAAAGAGGTTGTCAAATGTCAAAATTAAATTTCATTTACACAAAAAGTCAATAGTAATAAGTACTCAAATTTCAGCATATTTTAATTTACCTTTATTAGAGCCTTTCCTATTTTTTGTTAACATTTAATCCTTCCCCTTACAAAGTGACATAAATAAATATTGTGACAGATACCCAATTTATGAATATTTGAATTCACAGTCAAATACTCACGGACTGCAAAACCAAAAGAACAAAAATAGGAAAAATAAAAATTAAAAAAAATTAAAAAGAAAAAAAAAGTAGGGTTTATTTGGAGCAATTGTTCCTCTGGAAAGAATGGAAATAAATAGGTCAGAAGAACAGCAACAAAACAACCATAAAAATTTCCTTTAAATTCCAAAAATAGTCTGACTTAAATTTATCAATTTTTTTATAAAATAAATAATATTTTTAAAAAGTTGCATGTAAAATATTTCAACCCTAGGTGAAATTTTTTGTTCAAATTATTGAAGTTTGTGATTATAACACAATTTCAATTTTCTGTCAACTTGAATTGAAAAAACAATAAATTAATTATTTTTTAAAATATATAGGGATAGTGCATTTTTGAATTTTGATACCTCCCGTTATTGATATATAAAAAAATTATTCTGATCCATGTGATATAGACTCGACACATTTAACCTTTAATTAATTGAAATATGTGGTTTTGGTCCCCTCTTTTTTTTTGTAGTAAATGTATTATATGGACTATTTGTAGAAGTATAGTACCATTAAATATGGAGCAACAATACCGACTTAACGTAACACATAAATAATCAAATGGTGAAACGGTAATAATTGCTATAAATTTGTGATTATGATCAGGCAAAGGGATCAAAACTACACATTTCAATTTACTAATAACTGAAGGATTAAATGTAGGAATAACTATGTCCCTAAACACTTCAACCAATTAGTTTATAAAATACATACAAACGGTATAGATTATGTATATTTAGTGTATATACATAATCAGTATATATATATATTATGTATATTTCGATCACATTTGAAAATTCATGTTTAAATATTATAATTAATATTCTTAAAATGGTATAAAAAGTGGCAAATGATTCAAGACAAATAGAATAATAATTCTACAAACAAATATATTTAAAACAGGTATAATGTACAGTATGCAGAGGTACATTATATAACATTATAACATATTGGCATTATGTGGAGACTATAGAGTAGTAATACAAAACATGGGTTCGCTTTAAATGCGAGGTTGACAATACATAACCTCCTTTAATTAATAAGATCGAGGACTACGATGAGATGAATATATTTTACTATTACTATTATTAATTAAAAATTTAAAATAATTATCCAATATCGAGTATAAAAAAAAAAAGTAGGACATATCCCTTCAATAATTCAATCTTCCCACTAATAGGGTCCTTAATTACCCAAAGATGTGAAAAATCATTCATATACCTTTCTACCCCCACCCCACCTCCCACGCCAAGAGAGGGTTGTTTTGTGGCACTTTCATTATTTGATTAGAAACTTATATTTTATATTATCAGTATAGATATCAAGTAACCTTACCTATTAAAATATATAAATAGCTACGCTAGTGAATTTCATTATAAATTGCAAGCTATAAAGTTTAAAGTTTTAAAAGACTTAATATCTAAGTTGATACTTATACCAATTTTGAATTTTAAAAACATTCCTCAAACTCTACATTTTCTCATTTTGACACTTTTTATTGAGCAATTCAGAATATGTAATAAGCATCTCTAATCATCGACATGTAATAAGCTCGTAGAATATAAAAAAATTTGATAAAAAGTGTCTTCTCTTACTAATTACTTATAAGTTACACCCTCACCACCTCCACCCTCCTTCATAGATCTATTACCATCATTTAGAATTTATGCATTGTCATTATTTTATGATATATCTACTAGATATCAGATAATTCCATCTACTAAGATTTATATAGTTATACTAATGAATTTATACACTATGATCTACAAGTTATAAAAATTCCCAAGGCTTGATACTTAGATTCGACACATTTGATCATCTTGAATTTTAAAATTGAACGTCAAGCT